TCATCTTCAAATTGTATTCATATTTCGGTCACTCTCAACGAAATAAGCTGAATATCAAGTAAGCAGAAGTGGTAGATTCACAACATTTAGAATATTGCACTTACTGGGAAGAGTTTGAAGAGTGGGTATGTTGTACGTCGACATCCATCTTTGCCGTTCCATCCCAAACAAGGTACGTTATATTCTTCATATACTGAGAGAAAACAGTGACTAAAACCACAGTACTGTAACACAACGTGAATAATTGCTGGATTTGTTGAGTTGTACAAAATGGCTTAAAACATAACATATATTTATGATAATAGCAAACCTATAGCATGAAAATAAATTTACAGTCGGTTAAAATATGTTTTACGGCAGTCAAGGTGCTGTTTGCATATACATCAAATATGTTTAACTATTAGCAATGGTCTATGACGCTACCTTCAAACCAATAGTCATTAAAAGAACCATGCAATAAAATTCCAAACACAAAACATGTTAAATAACAGAGGTTATGTCGAATATTTGTCGTTTTACCCTTGTTGTTAAAACCCTATGTATGAAAGATTGTCTATTTAGACACTCTTCAGAAACGGTATTTTCACATGATACTTACAAAATAGAGATTCCCCAGTGACTACCTGCCATGTTTCCCGCTGGTTCATACAAAGAAAGGCCAACCAACGCAATTGTGGGTGCAATGGCAAGGGGACCGATAAAACGCAGTAGAATTCCGATAATACCAGTAAAACCAATGACAACTTGGAAACAGGAAGCTACTGTAATGGCGCCTTGTATCTGTATTAACAAATTTATTACGTCAGTCTTAAGTTTCTCTCGATTTTATTAGCTGACAGGAGTAGTCTTGAAATAATATCACAACATGATGACAGTGTTAAGCATCACGGGCTAAATAAATTAGACGCTCTGCGCCCGTAACGCACCTTTAAAATTGAAACCAAAAAAAAAAAAAACATACCTCTCTCATTCTAACTTGCCACAGCTCTTCGCGTTCATAGCTTGTCATGTTGGCAATTATATCTGAAAGAGTAGATGAGAGTTTCGTTGATATTTTAAAAAAGCTTAAAATAAAACATATTCAGTTTGAATTAAATTTATAAATAATAACGTTTCTTTCAGTCATGTGTATTTCATGTATACGTAATTGTCTTAGTATGATCATTTATATGCGTACCTGTGTCAGGGCACTTCCACTGTGGTAGAGAAAGTATAGCAAATGTTGGTGCAAGAAAAGAGAATGTACCGCCTTGAACAATGGGTAGTCTGTTAAAAATATTACAATATACATTACTGGTTTTGGTTCATATACAATATGCTCATTTTTTATACTACAAACGTGTATGCAAGAAGTTATTTTAGTATCACAAAATTTAAAGTGCAATCCCAATTCTCTGTACGTGGAAGTCTGTAACTTATTCAGCGTTATTCACTGCGCCCTCTCCGGTTGGCTGTAATCAGGGCCCAGAATTCAGTGCGGACCCCGTAACTGATGCTTTATACGGATTATATTGTCGATATAGTTTACTGTGTTTCTCTCAAAATACTATATATCGCCACTTTTAAAACGTAGTATACTTTTACAACGTTATTTTCTATCACACAAAGTATGCTAATTAGGGTTTTGAAAGATGATTTCCGTGAATCGTGTGAGATTAAATTGAGCATATTTGTTAGAACAAAACCAACCAAACAAACAAACAAACGTAACATTTTATGCGGCACATTTTCATCTGTATTTCCAAGCCAGCCTTACTAAACGTGAACTACATTGTTATTGATAACATTTTAAATTCTAAGAATAATTTAATAAAATATCATTTGAGTTATTCTGGCCACAAAAAATTAATAACGACGACAGTGACAACGACGACGACGAGAAAGACAGGAATTGTAACCACTTCATTATCATTACGGGCAAAGTAGAAATGACGAAATGAAGATGTTCTATGTCAGTACAATTGTAAATAATTGGCAATATTCTTAAATCGAAATCACAAAAAAGCATGTTTCATAAACGTACTAACTTCACTGTGTAATTTCAGTTGTCATACTTACCTAACACCAAATAACACTTGTAACACCGTCACCATGCCAGACACAAAGAATATGGTGCCGATTATCTCACTGCGTGCCACTGCGGTATTAGACATACATAGTATATCGCTCAACAACAAAGGAATAGCTACTGTTGCACCAAACATAGTTAGATAGTGCTGAAAAAAGTATGTACAGTGTTACACATGTTATACGCTACGTTGAAATGGTAAAATAATAATTATTCATTGGATGTTCATTTTAAAATAGAAGCTTACTCATAAATAAATATATAAATATAGAATTAATCTATTATGAACAAAATTGTGTATTGACTTAAACAAGGCAAACGCTAATATGAATAGCTTCGCCCAACGGGTGGAGACACATTCAATTATGATACTGTACATATATTTAAACTGTCATAGAAATTTTATTCTCACATCTGAGAATAAACAAGCAGCCTATCGGCTGAGATAGCTCCGCTGTTAGAAATGCACATTTCAATTAAAGAACTGAAGACATCATCAGAAAATGAACAATATGTATAGTATCAAAGCAATCGGACTTACAGTTTTTAACAAGAAGTCGAAAATATCACTTTCTACCAAAAATGACTAAAATATTCACCAAAATTAGAGAATTGAAGATATCATCACGAAATGAACAAATCTGAGAAAGGTCTACATGTAGTATCTATATATGTAATATCAAAGCAATTGAACATTTTGGTTTTTAACAAGAAGTCGAAAATATCACTTTTTACCAAATATGACAAAAATATTCACCAAAATTATAGAATCCAAGATATCATCACGAAATGAACAAATCTGAGAA